TTCTTTCAATTCAGTTTCATTCATATAGTGCCAAATCACACCAACAGGTGCCTCAAGGCGCTTCATATTGTAAGGTAGAGACTCAACAATAATAAAGAGAGAACTCAAACAATCAAGCCACCACGTATGAGCAAGGATTTGGCAATAGTGGGAAAGAAAAACTCCCTTTTAACAGGAAGAAACCTGCAGGGGAACCAGGCTCAGGGAGGAGCAGCCATATGATGCGACAGGCTGGGGTGATGGAAGGAAAACAGGACAAAAGACACACTGTGGAAGAGCAACTGAGATTAATATCTAATAATTAAACACAGAGTGATGTGTAAGCACATAGTAAGTGAAAAGGGTGAGTGAACACAAAACACTCATGGGAAGCAGCCTAAAAATATAAAATCATTACCAAAAATTAATAGTTCATGGTAAAACTGCTCCATGAACTACATTGATACTATACAATATCAGTATTGTACTGCACAGCACACTACGGCAGTGTGCCTTTTCATCTTGTTTACTCAAACTTTTTCCTCTTCTCTCTTTTTTTCTTAATCATTTCAGCTAGATTATTTTGGTTGCCTGAACCAATCAGTTAAACAGAAATGATCATACAATAGAATACAGTAAAATAGAATAGAATGTATTGCACTGCACCTCTACGAGCTGTGTTACATGTATAATAGGACGGAAAAGCCAGAGAGATTGTACTTCTGAGTTTCAGGTGCTCATTTCTGATCTTTGTGGGGTTTTTTTTCTATCTTCAGAGTAGTTAGCTATCGTGTTACTGTCTGTTGAGATGCCATGCTCCACGTTACTTCCTTCTTGAACCGTTGCGTTTGACAGATAATTAATAAGTCATAATAACAGCTTGAATAAAAGCTACATGGTATTCAGTAGGCTGGAAAACCTATATCTTTCTTTATGACATCATTATGGAAGCTGGTAATAATAATCTTAAATTACATGGTAGTCAATGTAAAAGATCTTTGTGTTTTTTTTTTTCTATCTTCAGAGTAGTACAGGTCACAGATGCTAAAATCTGTTCTTTATGACACAGAAAGGAAGTAAATTTGTGCTCTAACTAGTCTGGTCTTTTATTTCATCTTACCATCTGGCTTTGCGTGTTTTCCAATCCTCTGCTGAGCTTCCTTCTGTTTCAGAAAAACAGAATTAAATCTGACAAAATTTGACAATATCACTCTGAAGTATTATGTGTGATTTCAAAATACACACAGACACACACACACGTTGTGAGCCTGCAAGTATAAATAAACAAGAAAACTCTTGTTTAGATGCAAATATGATGGTTTAATTTTACTGCACAAAAACGAGTTCGTGCTTTTATCACGGGAGCTTTTCAATTCTGCCCTGTATTAGCTTTTAATTAAAGAACAGTGACTTCCCCAGATGTTTTATAACTTCAGTTGCTTACAATTACTCCACTGAATACTTTTTGTTTCTCACTTGACTTCAGATGAAAATGCAACTCATTTTTATTTTAGGGTTCCTGACCTTTAAAAAGTTTCCATGAAATTCTCTTGACAGGGGAATAAAAACAGATTCTGCGAACCCACTGACACAACATTCAAAGCCATTATGCATATGTGGGAAAGAAATTTAGTGATGTTCAGAAACTGTTGGCTGTGTTGGTGCGTTACAGCTCAGCCTGTAACGTGGAGAGCAGAGCTGGGAGCAAGATCAGTGTTTTTATTGGGGGGAAAAAAAGAAAAGTGAAATACAGAGAAGATGAGCACAACAGATAAAATATACTTTAGATAAACAACAAAAATAACGTAGTATCAAAACCAATATTTGTTTCATTCTGGAAATATTTTCAAATCAGACATAATCAAAGCATTTTTCCTTTAATAAGTCTTTTACCAAGAGGGACGCATCCAAGACACGAAAATGTGCTCAGAGGAATAAAACTATGGATTTATTTGAGAAAGATGGAGTCGGAAAGAAATGTAACACTTAGTAATTTTCTTGGATGAAAGAATGTATTATATTACCATTGTTCTCTCTTTTGAAACTAATCAGACAGATACAGACACTTACTGTGCCTGGTGTTATTCCACTGAATATAAAAAATACAGCACAGAAAGTCTCATCTGTCTCGCCACAAAAAGACAGCAGCAATAGCGATTGTGCCATCATGCAAATAGATATTCGGTGAAGACCACATGCAGGGAGGCTCATTTTGTTTCCTCAGTTGTTTGTGTGTACTTTGGTTTTAAAAGTATACACACACAAATGTTGGTAGCCTACAAGGTTACATGTGGAATATGTAAAATCGTAGACAAACAGCTGCGACCGAGGACAGCAGAAGGTCTGTAGGCAGGAAAAAGTGTCTGTAGCCGATCATTTAGAGGATAAATCTTTAAGAGGACTGCAGTGACTCTTGAGTGACTGTAAAAGTGATTTTAGGATGTGTATTGAGCGCCATTTGGCTTCCCCAAAAATGTGAGGGAAGAGAGGGAATCTTTCTACAGGCAGGCACATAATTAGCACTGTGGGACAATCACTGGTCTTCATAAATCACTTTAAAATCAGGAACATCTAAATATCAGAAGCAGTCACAACTCCAATTTGCTGGACATTTAGCCTGATAACATATTTGAGGCTCATATAAACAAATGTGGACGATAGGCACTCACAACATTTGTAATTCATCAGTGCCTCAGGCTTCTAACAGGAACACAGTGAAGGTGATATGTCTAAAACTGCCAAAACGTTCTTAGATTCAGTCATTTTAATGCGTCCAAGGTTGCTTTAAAAATAGTTCAAGTACAAGTGTAAAGTACAAGTGAAATGAGATGGCCAAAAAACACACAAACAAACAAACAAATAAATAAATAAAATGTATACATCAGGCTGCTTATCTAAAAAACAAATAAGAACAAGACTCCAGTAATTCCTGCTCTGGCTCTTCCTGAAGGTTCAGGTGAAATAAAAGAAAAAAGTAGCACGAAAAAAGACTGCAGACAAAGAGACGTTTTAAAATGCTATTATTGCAGGTTATTACATCTGTTTGCGATGGAGTCGGGTGGATATCACTGTGAGCTGTGTGAATAAATCAATCTACAACTCTTACAAGCAGAAGCTTGTGAAATAAGGTTTGAAAACCTGAACTCATAGCGGTTTCTGAACCATTTTTGCAGAGTTTTTCAAAGTCTGTAGATTGCCATGTTTTGTTTTGTTTTCCTGTTCTTCAAGGTAGAGTGTGCTTCCTGAAACCAAAGTGCTGTAATGTGAAAAAGACTTTACCAAACCCTGAGTACTTTGTTGTGTGTACTTTGAGTCTCATTCACAGCTGCCAAAGGATTATCCAGTTCTTGGCTGTCCGTTAGCTATCGTGTTACTGTCTGTTGAGATGCCATGCTCCACGTTACTTCCTTCTTGAACCGTTGCGTTTGACAGATAATTAATAAGTCATAATAACAGCTTGAATAAAAGCTACATGGTATTCAGTAGGCTGGAAAACCTATATCTTTCTTTATGACATCATTATGGAAGCTGGTAATAATCTTAAATTACATGGTAGTCAATGTAAAAGAAACATGCTTTTTAAATGTGTGTTTATGAAAAAAAGAACTGAAAAAAAAATATAAAATACTCAAGATGTATTAATAATTCAAATTCCAGCAGAAATAGATCTTGAAATGGTGACAACATGTCAGAGAGGCTGTTCAGGTGGACATTTAACAGTGGTTAGAGCGAATTTTCTTTCACTAACTTCCCTCGCATATTTTATAAATAGTAAAAGCTTAATGTCATTAAATTAATATTGTGTCATCCACAAATATCTGAAAACAGTTTCAAAAACATAAAAGATTCTGAACTGAAAAATTGTTCTTGGATATAAAACATCAGAACAATGAAAAAAAGTTTGCTATTTTTGTTTGATGGTGACGTAATAGTCCTCAGTCTCAAATTTGGGACTGCTGTGTCTGACATCCTTTTGGAATAAGGCGTAATGGTGCTAATTTACATTCAGTAAACAGTTACACAACCCAGTGCTTTGTGCACACTCTTCTGTTCTGTCTGCATTGCGAGTTTGGTAACCGCTTTCTCTTCTGAAAAGGTCATGTAAGGAAATAGGTCTTGGCTGACCTGAAGGTACAAAAGGAAAATGGATCTTGTGCGAACACGCACACACTGTGGAAGGAGTTTTATTCATTTCCCTCCAAGGTGTGTACGGTGAGAATAATGAAAAATTTAGGACAGTCTGTCTTCAGGTCATTGAGCTGCCTTCGTCAGATGTTTGGTGTTTTCTTTACACACATGCATGCTCTCAATCTGTCACTGGCCTGTATGACAACCTGAAACAGTCCCCAAGCACACTTTTCCAGTTCACAGAATCCACCCTTGCCTCCTTATCGCGTTATGTGTTTTACATATTTGCATACTTGAGTCTTTCCGAAGCAGCTCTGATAGACTCCAAATCACACACTGGGAAAATCGGAACGTCAAGAATAGCAGGATGCCTTAAGGCGTAAGACATCAGATTTAATTATTTTCCTCAACAAAAACCCTGCAGGTGCTCTTGAAACTCAAAGTGAACCTAATTTAGAGTCCCATATAAACACATTAATAACAATTATGTATTATATGCTCCATATTTTTTATCCAGATCTTCTCTCTGCTCTTTGCAAATAGAATGTTTGAACCACAAGTGTGGGGTGCTTCCACTAATGATATCCCTCAAAATCTAAGAGTCGAAAAAACAACTGGAAAACAGGCACTTTGGGCAGTCTCAATCCTGAGTTTAGGTGAACGAAACTCCAGCAGCACTTTTAGTATACATACAATGTTTATTTGCTCCCTAACAGTCTGCCTTATATGCCAGCCCATAATAGAAAAATGTGAGACAATGTACAGATGTCAGTGCTGCAGTAACAACTTGGGAAATGTGTAACGGCTAAATCAGAGGTGTGGTTACACTTCACTACTTCTTCGAGTCCTCCCGGTTATGTATAGTGACGTTTTCTGTATGTGTGTGCGTGCAGGCCGCAGGGTACTCGAATGATGTCAAAACCTGCGGGTGAGCAGCTCTCCAGTACCACCGTCAGCGAAGCCTCTACTGCCATCACCTCTTCCACTGTGGACACGTCAGCCTCCAAGGTTAGTCTGTGGTTTCAGTCTTTACCTGTATATATGTGTGTTTGTGTGTTAGTTCCACATTTGTCGCTTTCAAACAATGTCCTTTCTTGATTCGTTGTGGACTGGTTTTATGCTATAAAAGGGTGACCATCCAGGCTTTTTGGTCTTTGAGTTTTGTCTCCTACATTTTTGTGCGGTAGTTAGAATATTTTCAAGCAGCAACAGAGAGGATTGCCTTGTGAAATTTTTAGCAATTATGAGGCTTCATGTCTTTGTCCTGTTTTGTGAGAGTTAAAGCATATGAATCAAGTAGTAGTAGGGGTTGCATTGGCAGTACTGGAGTCTTCAGTTAGTTAAGGTTGCCGGTTCGAGCCCCGGCTTGGACAGTCTCGGTCGTTGTGTCCTTGGGCAAGACGCTTCACCCGTTGCCTACTGGTGGTGGTCAGAGGGCCCGGTGGCGCCAGTGTCCGGCAGCCTCGCCTCTGTCAGTGCGCCCCAGGGTGGCTGTGGCTACAATGTAGCTTGCCATCACCAGTGTGTGAATGTGTGTGTGACTGAATGTGTAAAGCGCTTTGGGGTCCTTAGGGACGAGTAAAGCGCTTTACAAATACAGGCCATTTACCATTTTAACATCCACAATCAGCTTTGTGTTAAATGCACTGCACTGAAAAGCCAAGTAGTACGTGAGCCATCAATAAAGGTCTGTTAGCTCTGTAATAAACCTACGATGTTCTCTGCAGCTTGTTAATGAAGAAAATCACTCCATTAATTCACCAGTGCAAAGGCTTAAAATGATCATTAAACAAGAAAAGAAAACGATGCTAATATCTGAATATACCAACAAACACAGGTACAACCACTGAACACAGTGAGGCATGACAAACAGACAGAGATGTCTTTTTAGTCTGTGGTACAGGAGAAATCCATTCTTTAGAATCAGTCAAGAGATGAGCGCTGGTTATCCATGGCTAGCCCCGAGAATGATCACAGCAGCCTGGGCTAGTGGGGGGAAAACATTATTTGTGGCCAGTGACTGACCTGATTAGCAGCAATTTTCAGCTGATTCACAGCAAAACGGAATGATGGATGAGGATGAGAAAATGGAAATTAAAAGCTTTTTGCAGCTGATCTAACTCTATTATGGCCATGCAGGGATTTAGACCTGAGGTGTAGTTTGAAATGGAGGTAGAGGTTGTAGGTTTGCACCATGATTAAGTGCAAAGTTGTCTGCTGGTTAGCAAGATTAGGTATGTTTCTATGTAACATAGAAGTTGAATGCTAGAATTACACTTAATAAAACTGGATGCAAGGTGCAAAGATGCAAATGTGTTTTGTTCTTCTGTAAATGTGCATATTTAAACATTGAAGTCTATGGAGATGTAATATCAGCCTTCACAACCTTATTTTTATGCTAAAAATTGACTGTGTAGATTCAGACATTTGATTTAGTGAACTCAGTATTACAGCAGGCTTCATTGTGATTAGGATTACTCCTTTTGTAAGTTATTTATGGTATATAGTTGATTCCACATTCCTTCCAGTATATTGTATTACCACTATACTACATCAATAAAAAATAGATTTGGTCTGTTTTCATATCCCCCCTCTTCCCCCTTTTTCTTCTATTGGAGCTTATTTGTTTTTTTTGTTTTGTTTTTTTTTTTTGTTTTTTTTTTTGGCAACATTTAAACTCCAGGTCTTCAGGTTTAATTTCTAGAATGCACACTAGTATTATTGCACAGTGATCGTATCTATGAAACAAAACTGAATTATGTTTGTAGTGGAGAAAGCACTTTTCTTTTGACTGTTTAACCTTGTTTTTGGTCGTCCTTGGCTCGGGCAATTTGCTTGCAAAATTACAAAATACTTGAAGCAAATCAGCACAGACAGTGCTAATGAATTCCAATTTGATCTTCCAAATGCAGATCTCATGCAGGATACATCCCTTGTCATCTGGTTTAGTACACCATAAAGATGTCCATGCCACTTTTTTCAGTATAAATCTTACACTTGGTTTATACTCACACATGTATGCAGCTCCACGGTGGCGTGAAATCTCATCCTGCCCTATCAACAGGTGCCTCGGGACCAAGATTGAACATGTGTCATCGTGTACGGTACAGAGATGACAGGATATCCATCACAAAGCCCCATCACCATTCCCACACCCAGTGTTTTTCTGGTCTGCAGCTCTCCCAGGTGCTCTGGCTCATCACCCCTGCCACTAAGCAGCCGGGAAATGGCACAGGAGCCTTATTCTTAAAAGAAAAACTCTTAACAAAAGAATCTTTTTCTCAGAGGAAGAATGAGTCATTCCTACCCCCCTTGCTTTGCGCACAATCTTAAAATGAATCCGTATTTTGAGTAAGTCACATCTCTTCCGCCTCTGACAAAACATCAGAGAAGCAGTGAGACGTCCCACTTTCCCCATGAGCTGTGTCTCGCCGTTCTCCTGTAAGCACTTGTGTTTACTGGCTGCATATTTAGTGATATTGTGTTCACAACTAACTTCTTTGGGATTTATCAAAGTCCGTGTCATTTAGACATTTCTGTTGGCTCCCAGTATCCTCTTATGAATTGTTTTGCCTTTATATGCCTCATTAATTCGCTGCCTCACTTTTGAAAGTAACTCTGCTCTTCAGGTGCTTCTTTGAGCATTAAAACCAACACATAATAGAACAGAGAACGCTGCAGAGTAAAGAGCTGTTCTGTTACGGACTAAACACATATTTGAGTTCCTGCATTAAGGGGGAAACAACAAGAAAAAAGGAAAAAGTCAAAGTAATTGGTGGCATGACTGTAGTGTTAGCAACACTGATTGTCCTGATTGTAAAATAGATGTAAATTACTTTAGGTAATCTTTAGGTCTTTAGGTTTGACAGGAGAGTTTGGCAGTCACAGATCTGCTTCGACCAAAATGGCTGACTAATGTAGGATAGTTTAGAGGGCTATCACCTGGGAGACATTGTTCAAATTCCATGTGAAGCTAAAAGTCAAGATGATTTATTTTTAGATGAATAGGCGTATGACAGCACTCATTGTGTGGAAGGGTCTTAGAACAGAGAGCTGCATTTTCCAGATTGAAGCTTAGTGCAATTTTAAGAGTATATTTTTAATTTGGGTATAAAGAAAATTCTTGAAATTAGAAAAAATCATTTTATATCTTACTGTGATGGAAGTGCAGCTAACAGACCTGATGATTACATTGAGATGCAGGAAACGCATTATGTCCTCTGAAGCTGAACTATATAGCGTTTGTCAAGCTAATATGTGACTCAAAGGTAAAATTTGTATTTTCATTATGTTTTAATTGCTGCCTAATTTATAAACACAGAGAGATTGGCAACAGATTGCAGGCAGTTTAAGTCAGTCTGTGCCGATGGCTCACAACTTCTCTGCAACGTGTCTCTTTTCAGTAGGGAACTCAACTCAGCTGCTGAAGTGTGTGTGTGTGTGTGTGTGTGTGTGTACGTGCGTGCGTGCGTGCGTGCGTGCGTGCGTGTGTGTCAAAGGTGTCTCAGTAAGCAAGAATCAAAACAAAATTGGACTTCATTTTGGTTCTTGCTTAAGTAATTTATGCAGCTACACTGCAGCCATGGTTAGAAGTATGAGCAGTCATTTTGGAGGCTCTTGAAATGATTGTGCACTATGAGTGTGAAGATGGTGCCTCATCCTCCTCAGAGGACTTGGAGGCTGACATGGAGAAGGCCTCAGACCAGCTCTGACTCATCTGAAGGTGAGAGTGGAGAGGAGATGGTTGAAGCAGTGACAGGATGAACTTCTCCATCTCCATATTTTGGTCTCCCACAAACGGAGCCACCAGCTATGCACTGCTGCTGATGGATGAAATCCTCCAGCAAATTGTGGCCATGACAGACATGCATGGGAAACACTCGGTGGCTTATGTGGACACAGAGGAACTGCAGGCTTATATAGAGATGCTTATTTTGGACAGTGTTTACAGGTCATAAAATTAATTAATTTTTTAAAGGTCATCTAAGGGTTAAGTTAGCCCGGCTTGACTCTTGTTTGTTATTCTTTACCACTGATTTGATTCATCGTACTGGTATTGCTCAGGCATCTTTCTAAAGGGAGAAGGAATCACAACCCATGTTTAATTACCTTACCCTCCCAGATATTTCTCATCTGGCTAGGGAATGGAGCCGGTAGCCCTCGGGTCTCAGAGGGACGTCTCTTGGCATTTTGGTTGTCTGATTGTGTAAAATAGCAAATAGCTGGTTTGACTCTCAGTCACACACCTACAAGACAGAGTGCTACTGTGCAGCAGGGACCACAGTCTGTTCCACAAAATTACATTCGGCCTAAAAATAGACCACTGCATCGTACACACACACACACACACACACACACACACACACACACACACACACACACACACACACACAGAAAGAAATATCTCTGAAATACACACATAGTATATTTACAGATATGGGACTAGTGTGAGAGGACTGCGTCATCCTCTGTCAACCAATCCTCTCACTAATTACTGAGTGCATTTGTTTTTGTTTTCCAGCTACTGATGCCTCCCAGTGCTGCTACCAGTCCATTCACACGCTTATGCAGCCGTCATGCCAAATCTTTTATTATGCCAGCAGGGGAGGTGACAGGGTGTACATGTCTTACTTTATGTGTATGTGTATATGTGGTGCCGGGGGAACAGGCCTTCTTCTGAGGATTTGAGAGTAGAGGATGGTCTAATGAGATTTCTTGAATATTTGCACAGTGCACAAGTATGTTATCCAGCAGGCCGGCACAAACAAGAATGTAAGAAAGGTTTGTTTAGCCAAAGAAACTCCAGCACCCAGTATTACTGTATTACTTATTATACTTATTATAGGTCAGGGGGCTGAAATGGCACTGAATACTAACAAAATGTTAAATATGTCTAAGAACTGGCCTGTCAGGTAGGGCTGGGCCATATTATACCGTTCACGGTAATACGATAGGAAAATGAAATATCGCGATAGAATGGGAGTAAAACGCGCATGCGCAGTGCCTTTGTTTTCATACGCACATGGCCGATTGTTGAGTGAAACAGATGAAACAGAATTGGTTTGTAAAAATGGTGCAACTTCAGTGATGTGGAACTGGTTTGGTGTTTGTCCGTCAGATACACAACAAAGCACATTTTTTTGCAGAACATGCAAGCGGCCGTTGTTATTGTCATATTTGTCGGACTAAGATGCTCTTAAATCTGGGAGTAATCTGGGTCCTAAACTCCGTATTCTTCAGGTCAAACAACACTGCAGCATCACTGAGAGTTAAAAACTGTCTAAATTCTTTCATCTTTAATAAAACCATCAGCATTGCTGCTTTACCAGGTGTAACTATAAAGTTTAACTTCCAGGCATCCATGAAAACAAAAGTTATTACATTTAACGGAGTTAGAAGTTAGCAGGAAGCTAGCGGAAGTTAGCTCGCTAGTTTCGCTAGTTACCTAAGCATGATATAAGATAAGATAAGATAAGATAAGATAAGATAAGATAACCTTTATTAGTCCCACACGTGGGAAATTTGTTTTGTCACAGCAGGAAGTGGACAGTGCAAAAGTTATGAGGCAAAAATTAGAATACAATAAGAATAAATACAGTACACAACTGTACAGAATAGAATAAAATAAAATACTATATACAGTAGAATAAAATAAAATAAATATACAATAAGATAAAAATAGAATACAAATACAAATACTATATACAACTGAGTAAAAATACAACGATGACAGAAAGGATTATTGCACTTAGTATTATTGCATATGTATGGATGTGTGTGCTTGATCAGTTGTATATTTTATTTATATTTGTCTCTGTATTTATATGTGTGTGTGTGTGTGTGTGTGTGTGTGTGTGTGTGTGTGTGTATGTATATATATATATATATATATATATATATATAACAATTCTGTAACTGTAACTTCGGTCGTTGCTGTGCTTTTTTTGGAAGTCGAATTTCCCAGAGGAACCCACCCGAGGGATTAATAAAGTTCTATCTTATCTTATCTTATCTTATCTTAAATCTGCAGAATTTAATGTGCTAGTGTCCTGTAATTACTACCTGCACTGCAGCAGCTGAGCCAAAGTTAAAATGTCTTAAGTCAGCACCTCTATTATTATATATCCAAAATATTATTTCAGTTTATTTCATGTATGCTTGATGTTTTCCAGTTAGTAAAACGTTACTAAATATATGTAAATAAAAAAAACAAAAATCAAGAAAAAAACAAAATCACACAGTGGAAACATGGAGGTCACCTGGGTCCAAAAGTTTTGCCCATGGCCACCTAAATCTTATTAATCTGCCCCTGGTTTCACCCAGTGGAAGCTGGTATAAAATCTCCTTGGCTCTGAATGAGAATGACAGTTAATAGTAATATATTTACATAAATTAATTAAAAAGAATTTATGCAATAACCTTGGTTTAAAAAAACTTTAATATTGCACCTTCTAGTATTATAACCCAAAATGCAATATTACAGCTGCATAAGTTAGTTATGATATTCAAGGTCATCTTAACCTCCTAGGACCTGGCGTCCACATATATGGACATCACATTTTGGGTTATTTAGCCCAAAATACTCAATTTTGCTCTACAAGGGCCTGATATCCACTTACGAGGACATTATGCTGCTACTGTTCTATCAAAATGTTAAATGAATATCCTCATATGTGGTTCTGATTTGTCTTAGAAACAAAAATAAGGAAAAAAAAAAAATCTGGTAATCCTCTGTTTTTACATTCATCGGGTCCCAATCAGCCCAAATATCAAAGAGAAATCAAAAAAGCATGCCATGGAAGAGTTCAGGTCTTAGAAGGTTAAAGTAAATGAGGATACAGAGGTTTTACCTTGTTTTAAGGAACTTTAATTTACTCTGGTCATTTTGAAAAAGAATCTTTGGATTTTCTTCCTAAGCCTTACAAAGATAATGCACATCAACACAGTCTTTTAATACTCCCAGTGTTCTTGCAGTCATTCCCTCACTTTTTTTGATGGTAGTCAGTCAGATTCAAAGGTCAGACTTTCCTGTGTCTGGCAGTTGAAATATTGACCTGCAGGTTACAAGCCCACATGCCTAACCTTCTGCCTGCCAGTCTAAAGAGGCTTTGTCAATGTCAGACAAATGTCATAGCAAGAGTGACTGTCACAGAGATCTGGTGGAAAAATTGTCTGTGCTCATATAATGGCTGTAATTATATCACAACTAGGGCAGAAAAAGAAGGGTAGCCGAAAAGAGAAAATCATAGTGTGGGTGAAAGTTTGTTCAGTGATATAAGTAAGATTGAATGGTCTGATGAGACACAGACAGCCTATTTCCAAATATAACCTACTGTAACACAGTAAACTGTCCTGCTTTTTCTTGCTGCCTTTTTGACCACAGTTGTGTTAAGGAGAAGAAATATGCCAAGGTGCCTTTAGTGCAGTCATATAGGTAATTAACCAAGCTAATTTAGCACAGTAGATGAATGGTACCGATGAGCTGCAGCAGCTAAGATACAGCCACTTAAAATGGCCACCTCATCAGCAACAGGGCCATGATGGATCCCTGGTTGAATCCTGACCGACTGCCGAATGATGGGTGATCGTATTGGTATCCCCCGTCTAGGACGCCTGGATGATGCAAGCATGAGTAGTAACGCCCCTAAGCGGCATTTAGGAAAACCAGTAGTAATGGTAAAGCAGCGTGGAGATGCATTCATTTACAGGCTTGCTACACTATATATATATGAGTTTGCATCAAATAAGGCACCGGTTGTGCACACCAAAAAAGCCAGACAGAAATTGATGCTTGCATTCTTGCTGACTTCAAAGCATAAAAACATGATTTCATTGCACTGCTAATGTTCTTATATAAAATGCAAAATTTAAATTTAAATGCGCCCTAATTGGGGATGTGGCACTTTGTTGTGAATATTTCTGATGATTAATAAGGTCAGTGAAATGCTGCTGTAGGAGTGAACTCCATAGCTCAGGCACTGTGCTTAAAACTATTGGTAATTCTCGCCATTTACGTTTTCCCAATAAATTAATGGCTAATGATCACATTCAAGCTTGCTTACTCAAGTTGTCTGCCGCTAAACTTAGTCTGTGTCCAAAGAGCAGCTTTGAAACGCCTTCATAAAACCAGAGAGCACTTAAAAAAAAAAAAAAACAAGCTAGGTGAAAGTCTGGGCGCTATTATGTAAAATCTAGAGAAATTATGGATCGCGCAAGACTTTTGCACAATATAAGATTTTAACGTAATCTAAAGAATAAATCAAAATATTAAGTTGCAATTTAAAAGAAAAATTGAAGGACATGCTAATGATTAAACAGAGGTCTGAAGAAAAACGACCCAGCAAGCAATAGGCTAAATGAAAAATTAAGTTCTATCAGTCTCAAAAATAACTTCCACATCTGGTTTGGGATCTACGAGGAAGCTTGTGTGCAAAAAAATGATTTCTTTATTTCTTTACGAAAGCTGTCAAAAGAATTTGAAGTTCAATTCATTTTTTTCATAGCGCCAAATCAAAACGGTGCCTTCAATGAGTTTTATATTATAAGGCAAAGACCCTACAATAATACAGAGAAAATCATCTATAGCTAACTATACAAGTCAAAGTTTTTTTGAAGAAAGCACCATCTCATGGTGACACTGTGCATTTGGGTGAAAGGGGCGTGTTTATAGTGAAAAGTAGATACGTCCCAAGGGAAAGAGGGGGGACACTTAGCGGCTGACATTCAACTGAGGGCTGGCTATCAGTGGCTACCAGATCTCTGACTGAAAGCAGCAATTTTGAGTCCTTTGATGGGAGACTGATGGCGGTCCATAACCATTGTGTCTCTAGGTTTGAGGTCAGCATGCACTATTCCCAGAGAGCTTAGGTGGAACAGTGCGTTTGCTAGTTGATGTAAAATTGGCCTCATTTCTCTTATGTAGAGAAGCTGGTTATTTTCCGATCCTTAATGTAGTCAGACAGGCTCTAATCAAGCTGTTCAGAATTTAAGTAGATACGCTTCCCTGTTGTTTATTCCATCATATAATCGAGTCAAAAAATACTTTTGTCTTATTAATGAGAAATAATACATATTCCAAAGAGAAAAAAACACAGGTCTTTCACAATGAACGGCTCATTGGTTTCCATTTCAGAAATTGGAGTGTTTTAAGGTTTAACTGCATACAACATCTGCCAAAAAAAAAATGCCAACTAAACCCTTTTATGTACGTGTCATATTGAAATAAATTATTTAAGTACAGTCAAAGATCAAAGTAAAAAAAAAAAAGTTTGCTCTGTCATCTTGGAGGCTTTCTGAGATTAATAGGAAGCAAGTTTTTCTGCTGCTGAAAACAGATGTTGTTATGTTGCAAACATTGATTAATATTAATAATAATTCAGTATCCAGAATAACAACCCTCAGGTCAGTGGCTCAGAGTTTAATGGCCAGTGAACATTTTTATTGGCTTATGAAAAAAGCTTTTATTCTTATATTTTTTTAAATGTTAATTTAATTAACACAATATTGTATTTTTTTTTCACATTTACTCTGAAAAAATATTACAAAAGCCTTGACATTAATGTGGTCATGGCCCCCTTCAGACTCACCCCTGTTTGCTGCAGTTATCGCTTCCTGTAAAATAGGCTGTCAGCCTTCAGCAAGTGGTTTTACACAGAGAAAAATCTGCAGTAAGGCTCCAGAAGTTGTATTAAAATATACAGATGAACTGTTAACTTAACGCATGTCACATAAAATCTCTCTATATTCTTTCTGTCTTTTACAGGGCTCCCGGTCCAGTGGCAAGGTGCACAGCTTTGGGAAGAGAGAGCAGTCCATCAAGAGGAATCCCAACGTCCCTGTGGTGGTCCGCGGATGGCTGTACAAACAGGTTGGGACACTCGAACGGAAACACCAATTGTAACTTGCATACAGTCACATCAAGACTAATGTTGATAAAGTTTGAACTGGGTTTGCTTGATTTGCTTTTTTTACGCCTGAATAGGACAACTTTGTGATAGTTTAAGATTTAAAAATGAAAATAAATGTGAAAAGTGTACATAATAGTGTAAAAATGTGTTTAGCACATTAGATAATACTTTTGTTCACTTATTTGGCAATTATTATTTTAAAGTAACCAAATACGTTTTATATAAAATGTCTTTCTTTTTTCTTTGAAATCTAAATTCAGCTATAGATATATAGCTTTTAACTTCTACGTCTATAAATATATGAAACATATAGCTTTAAACAGCCTGCAGACATTTAATGAAATACTGTCATGCTGAAAAAAGTTGCAATTAGCCTGATAATAGTAGTTATGGAGCAAATAATTGTCGTATACTTTTAAAGTATTTATGAGACTACTGGTACTGTGCTTTCTTTTAGTCAGCAATCCCTTAATCCAGCATGATTCTCTAACATTTCCTTCAGTAACCCAGTTTGATATTTTTCTTGATTTATTTCCTTTGCTTTGGCAATATTGAACACCTGCTGTTAATCACAGACAGCCTGTTACTAGAGACTACTTGTTTATTTGAAGTTATACTTAAAATATCTGTTGTTGGCATCATCCCACTGGGAGATTCTTGGCCTCCGTACAAGACAAACAGTGAGTGATGTTACTATGAAGCAATATTTTAATGACCACACAAAGAGGCATGCCCACACAGTCACACAGACAGTAGCACACTCGCAACTGTGCACACGATCTATTTACTGCAATTACATTATATTTTAATTAGAAAGAAACCCTTTAAAATGCTCTGGGGTGCATGAATGCACACAATTTGAATCCTATTTTGGTGCACATAAATATAAGCACATTGCTATAAATAATTATACACACTGATGCACAGATGTCCACTATCATGGCCAGACTGACATAATGCAGTTTATGCCTTTCATCCACTCACATGCTTGTATTATATGGTCGTAGCATCATACATCTTCAGCCACTGCTGTATCTGCTCAGCTCTTCAAATGGACCTATTTTCAGCCAAAGGACATAAAAGACAAAATGGGCAGTAAAGCACTCATGGCAGACTCAGTGAGCCAGCGAATGAGGACAAATGATCACTCCCTTCCCCCTCTGTCTTTTCTCTTTTCCTTTGCATGTACCCACCTTACTACTGTCCCTCACTTCCCCTTTCTGCATCCTTATTTCTCAGGCTCTTCCTTCCTTTCTCATTACCTCCTCTCTCTTCTTATTTAAGAGCTCTCTAGTCTTGCTTGTTATCTTCTCCAGTTAATGGTACTTCTCGTCTTATTATTTATGCATTCTTCACTTAAACTCTTTACCTCTCTTTCTTTTTCAGGACAGCTCTGGGATGCGTCTTTGGAAGAGGAAATGGTTTGTCTTGGCTGATTTCTGTCTGTTTTACTACAAAGGTAAGTCTTTGTGGAATGTTAAGTGAAAGTAGTGTGGGATCTGAATGCCCTGTTGTGCCAATAATATTTGATTTGCCAAGAGAGCTCTATAAACTACAGGTTCGTCTTGCTAGTCAATTTCTTTTTGTTTTATATTTGTTTTTTTAATTATTATTCACATTAATATTAGGGGTGCAACGATACACAAAATTCACGGTTCGGTTCGGTTCGATACTTTGGTGTCACGGTTCGATATTTTTTTGATACAAAAAAATGTTCATGCATTTTTAATTTGTCATTTATTAAAATTATAAGTATATATTTTAACTCAAAAGTACAGTTTTTAAATTTAACCCTAACCCTTGTGCGTGTTTTTTATTTTGACAGCGAATGCGCACCTGCGGACCACTTATGTGCAGCCCTGGTTATATAGTTCGTCATATTGCAGCCACAGAAATTCTTTTGTCCATGAAACCATAAAGCTGCACTTTCTTTTTGCCTTATAGTCTGATTTGTCATAACTTCTCCGTTTTGTGGTAAGCTTTTCTTTGGCTGTCACTTCTTCACCCTGACCTGTCTTATTTGGCTCAGCAGAACTGAAATGCTTTTACACGCACTCACATAAGCTCAGCGATTCTCTGCGCGATCAACCTCTCACATGTTTAAGCTGCGGGAGATTTCACTTGTCATGTTTGCATAGTAAGCTAACGATTAATAAGACGATGTCAGAGGAATTGGTGCACAAATTATCATCACTCACAGATCAGTGCTGTCGCTCTCTATACACAGTTCGCACGATTGCAAAGTGAAAGCAAAAAAACAAGCGCAAATTCAAACGTGACTTCAATATGTCACATATTGACAGTGGCTCACCGATGCCAATGACATAATTACCCAGCTACATTTCTGAAAGAATGCAAAAGCATTGACATATATTTTTCCTACAATAGCCCGACGGGCAGGGAAGAGATAGATTTTGGTAGCCTGACTGGAAAGATCGCTAGCTCCGGGACGTCGGGCTAGCGATATTGCAAGCCCTGTATCTGATTGAGGAATCACTCATCTTTGGAAAAGAGAGTTTATTACAGAGAAATGGCTCTTTCCAAAATAAAAGCTATACTATCCGCTTCTTCTGGGCTATATTCTCAGCAGCATAAGGAGAATCATGTGCTAACAGCTGTCTAAATGACTCGGCTAAAGTTAGTAGCATGCTTGCTTTTTTTTGTCTGCTTCCACTTGTCTTTGCACTAGGATGATGTCGGCGTAAATGTGCAGTCATATTCGTTGTGTTCCCACTAGTGCTTTCAGGTTAATCTCGTTGAAATGACCTTAACGCCACAACACGGCAAATCTCCGTTAACGAGCTACCGCCGATCGCCCCGTGCATGGGGCTAGACGGCCAACACGTTAACGAGTTAACCGCGCTAGCACACTAGTTCACACCAATGTAATTGAGCATTGCATGGCACATCCAACATACTGTTTTACTTTAGTCCATGACTTGCTTACCTTCAGGGTCATACGTCACATGAAAACCAAAATAATTCCAAACGCCAGATCTGAATGAGGGTGGGGGAGGTGCCCTGCGCTCTTCCTTCTGACTATGCTGTCTGTGTTGAGCGCTCAGTGGATCTGCGCTCGACAGTGCAGCCTAGGCGGAGTAGTCGAACACAGATTCACTGAGCGCTCAACACAGACAGCATCGTCAGAAGGAAAATTGATAAAATAAATTACAAATGTTGTATTGTTCGATACATATGCGTACCGAACCGAAAGCACTGTATCGAACGGTTCAATATCGATACGAATATCGTTGCACCCCTAATTAATGTGTTTTGCATAATAATGCCAGAACTGATATTTATGAAGAAAGGAGAAGAGCAAGCCAAAAAATTCCATCCTATCCCAACCCGATGTACTTTGACACTGGGACACAGCCAGCCCAAGCAGGGTGTAAGAAGAAGCAGTTTAAATGAAAAGTTATAATCTGTTAATCCTCAAAAGTTCCTTTTAAGACAAAATAATTGAAACATCATTAAAGGAAATCACACATCATAACTGGCATGCCTCTGCAGCCTTCATGAAGTAGCTTATCTTTGATTCAGTAGCTCGCAGTGTCTCATCCAAACTTTGTAGAACTTGATGCAGACGAGAAAATGGCCATTGCATTAGGCTGTATTATACTCTGCATGTTTCTCTATGGTATTGTTTGAAAAATTAAATGCATAAAATGATACACTTCCGGTGAGGAGAGTTTATTATGAGAGGATGGAAAGATCCACAATCAATGCAAAAGGTTAAAGGACAAAGATCAAAGTAGACTATGACAGTTTTCGGTAAACTGCAGCTGTCAAAGCAGCCAGAAATTCACTTTAGGTGAGCAGTAATCTCTATATCTGTTATGTGGTTCCAACCATTGAACATGTACACACTGCTTACACCGATGCTCTACATCACACACACCATCACAATTGGTCTACCATTCCCTGCTTGTCGCTATCTATCTCTCCACACCATTTTTATCTCCATGGTTATAGCCAAACATTTGGGACACGCTCCTCTGCCTGCTCACCTCGACAGGAGGGTGAAATCAATTCTGTTGTTTTTGTTTTTTCCCTTTTTTCTGTCTTCTCGCTCAGTTCAAAGGTTTCTCCTCCCAACATGAGCACACTTGATCTCTCTCTTCAACACGACTTATCTCCTCCCTTTCCTACCCAAACAGTCAAATACGGCTTTGCTATCTTTGTTTTTTATTAGGACTTTTCTTGTTTTGATGATAAATGTCAGAGCTTTTACAGTAAGTTTTTTTTAATACCAACATTATATTTGCATGAAAATACTGACTCCTTAAAACAACATTACGCAATTAAATGCATATATAAAAATGAATTAGCAGTTGCTGAAAATGATTCTCACATCTTTTCTTTGTCATTTTCTTTCTGGGTTTTGATCCGATGGTTATGGGAAAACAAGAATTTGAAAATGCCAAACTGAGTTCTAGAAATTCAGATTATAATTAGAATAAAATAAAATATTAAAACTTCTCAGTATTTTTAACCCTTACCCATCTATGGAAGCCGACTTTACTTTAATAGACTTGTTGCTGCTTACATGAAAAGAAAAGAAAATAGTGGTATTTGTGGGAACAACCTATGAACAACTCTTACTAGACTGAAATGCACAATTTTATTCAGACCCATCTGAGAGTGCAGAAAATCCAGAATCAGTAAGTCTTATGTTTGCACCTGCATGGCCTTTGTCCTTCTTTAATATTGGAGTAAGCTGATGGCACTTGGGATGAAAGACTGGCTGCAGCAAACTGAATCTAGTGATTGCACATCAGTCTCTGGAGGGCTTTGCTGTCACTAAAAATGTGCTCTCCAATAAAGTTCTCAGATTAGAGATGATTATTTAGTTGGTATTGTGCTTTTGCGTTTCCAGCAGTTTTATTGTGTGAGCGGCGTTTGCATTTTGTAAGTAGTCCTTCATGGGAGCAATCTACACACGCATGGTGCTGAGAGCTTCGAAATTTATGCACACTCACACACAAGATAATATTTGTACGCGCTGTTTTCACAAATGACTGTGACTGTGTGCAGGGATCATTGATGAACGAGGCCCCTTTGTTTCTTCCTCTTTTTTCCCCTCATATGTCTTCTGTGGTCTGTTTTCAGTCAAGTCAGTTTTATTTTTAAAGCCCAATATCGCAACTCAAATTTGACTCAAGGGGCTGTACACTGTATGTCATACCCCGCAAAGTGTGTGAGACAGACGTGGCAGAGCAGATAAAAAAGACCCCACTATCTTGCCCACCATTTAGGGAATGTCCCCTTCAAAGGTCCTTGAATTATTTTTAACCAATTACTCCTTTAGCTACAGCGCCGTCTTATCACCTCTCTGCCAAACCGCCCACATACGCAGGTGCTGCATGCACACGCACACATTTTCATGCTATTGCTAAATTTTACGATGTGGTAATCGTCGCACATGGAGACACTGTCCTTACCATACACATTCTAGCATGCTATTACAATATTCAGTGGAAAACAAATATGTGATGAATTTTTGTTTATAAAACACTGCGAAGTGTTTTTGGAGACTTTTTTTTTCTTTGAAGGGTAAAAGTTGAAGACCGTATTGCATCAGTGATGGTTCTTACAAAGGACAGATCTGTGTGTGTGTGTGCATGTGCATGTGCTGACTGTGATCTCAACGTGTAAACTGGACGGGGCAGAGGCTGAGGACAGGCGGCCGGCTGCCAGCTGGAGCAGAGGAGCTTTAACTCTGTGACACTGGCATGCCAGAGTGGTCATTTACTGTTTGGCATACACTGTGGTATGAGTGATGTCATACGAGTTCGTGTTTGTCAGTGTTGTGATACTGGTGGCTGGCAGTGAGGAAATTAGTGGGCTGATGAGTGATATTTATTCTGTCGCTCCTTCCTGTCCTCTATATCTTTTGCCTGTCTTTTTTCCCCCTCCACCTTACCCCGCTGACCTCCCCTCTCTCGTTCTTCTCTCTCTCTTTCTCGCTCTATCTCCAGACAGCAGAGAGGAGTCAGTCCTGGGCAGTATTCCTCTGCCCAGCTATGTCATTTCACCAGTGGGACTTGAGGATCACATCAACCGCAAGTATGCCTTTAAGGTACGCCTCTTTTTGTTATACAGAGTTTTTATCCGATTTTGATTGATGTTTATCTTTTTTCTGTCTTATAGTTGCACTTTTTCTTGGTTCTTGGTTAAAAACAAAACTTGGAATGATTCCCTCTGGGTGTTTCTCATATACTGATGTCCTGTTAGCCAATTAAACCACCAGAACCATCTGAACATTAAAATTTAAGGTGTGTCGGGAAGATAAATTTATTAGACTGTAATATTTTTTCAGCTCTGCCGTGACAGTGTTAAACATGGCCACAAATTGAAAGAGGCATCATGTATAAGGTATTCCAGCTTTAGAAGACATAGATAATGGGTTTTATTCCCACAGGAGCCACTTGAGATAAAACAACCCCTGCTATTTAAAGCACTTTCCAAGAAGTGGTCTATATCATCACCGAGAGCAGTTTGAAATAACAACACAAAAACTGCTTTACTGCAGAAGGCCTGTGTAACACCTGCTGTATGAAAACATACAACATAACTTTATAAACATATTTATTCATATGTTTGTGATCTATGTGTGCAGACACTGTTTTTTTTGTCTGATTGTAAACTTCATAGCAGTAACACGTCTTTGGGTTGAAAACAGAAAGTCAGAGTTTAAATTTGTGTACAGTTAAAATGTTTATTAGATTTTAAATCATGACCTTCTCAAATTGAAATGAAATGAAAATGAAATACAATTCTGTCTCTTTCACAGACTGTTATCTTCCTACAGTAATAACCTGCTAGTGAAGCCACCACTCAGCTTCATTGTGCAGCACTTGCCAGCTGTTGTAGTAATGTCTATTACCACTGATTGTCTGTCTTTATTGAGACAGACAAGCATGTCTGGAATGGCATGAAGCTTTTCTGTTCCCCAAGGCACAAGTTTCTGAGTTAAACCCAACATGTGTAAAATTAAGAGGCTGGATTACTGTACAGCACGCACTGTCCTATACTGCAGGAGGGATTTCCGCACATTTGCAAGAAGATACAGTATATGCACAGGGTTTTTATTTGCTTTTTGTGAACATGGTTAATTGAACTTTTGGTTTATTCTGGGAAGGAACATGTTTTCTTGTCTGTTAAAGACACATTCCTGTGACCAGAGATTAGCAAAAGATCCATAAATTGTTCTTTAGCGAGATATATTTTTAGTCTTTATGCATTGAAATATAGTCATTGAGGTGGCTAATGGTCCATTTTATAATTTGTAAACTGGACTGAAGTTAAGCACCTTCTAGTTGAATTGACAGCTGGATTGAATCCTACTGAATGTAATTTACCCCCCCCCCCCCCCAAAAAAAATAAATAAATAAATTAATTAATTAATTAATAAATAATAAATAAAATTAAATAAATCATGCATGATTTAAATTTGGCAGATTTCGTCTTTCCTCTTTGAGTAAATCTGCATCTCTTCCGGTTTGGCTGCAGTATGAAGATGCTCTGAAGGTTTTTTTGTTTTATTTTGGCTTTTTTTACACGATGATCTTGAACTTGTGTGGAGATCAAACATAATTTTCTCTGTCAAATGAATGAAACAGATGCAGCTCAAATGAAGGACCATTGCAGTTGAAAAGAGTTGGAGACCAAACAGGAGGTTTTCTCTGGAAAGCACCACAGTGTCCAAGCCCAGAGGCTGTGTATAAGCGCAGACGTTTTGCTTTCTCGCACATTCAAGAGGTTGCGCACCATGAATTTATCCCCTAGGGTCAGACTGTCAGTGCCGAGCTCTGCAAAGACCGAGGGAGGATGTTTGCTGCTGAAATGATGCCACACACTGTTGTGCGCTGTTTCACAGCAGTGCCTAAAAGCATGGGAGTTTTTTAGCTTTTTCAACACAGTCTTTGCTGACCACCTGCATCGTTTGCTAGATTTGGCTCCCTGCACCTGTGCCCTCTTTCTCCAAATAAAGTTGAAGTTAAATTTCATTCTGACAAAGTAGAGGAGCCTACATTGCAGATTTTCAAGCTCAGATGTTCAGAGCAGGACATCCCAGGAACAATCTAAAAATGGCATTTCTGGAAGCAACGTTAGGCGCACATGGAGATGAACTCGGAAACAAGACTGCAAAGTTTGAATCAACATTTTTGTTTTATTTTTTATTTTTTATTTAACGAATAGATTCATAAAACGTATGATTGCATTGCACATGCTAAAGCTCTGACAGACTAGATGAATAAAGATGTTTACGATACTTTATCCCAAAAGTTTACTGTACTGGAATTTACTATAGCACTGCAGCTTAAAAACATTAAAAACAACATAGCCTGATAAAAATAAATACAATATCACAAAACAAAATAGTCCCAAAATGTAAAAGGTTACACAAAAAGAAATCAATAAAAACAGAAAATGGAAACAAGAGAAGAGTTCAGTAGATCCAAACCTAAATATAATACACTGAGGAAAGATTTTCTGCATTTGTCCTTGTGATAGAAGAGCCCAAACAGATGTAAGACAAAGTGCTCCACTGCCCGTCCAGTAGGCAGTGGGCAGAACAAGTCACCTGTTATTTATCCGAAGGCATTCACTGTAGTCAGTCGTTTTGGAGGAATCCAAACATACCCTGTCTCACCTTAACCAACAGGTGGTGTAGTGGGGGGATAAACCCAGTAAAACCACATTTTACTGTAACTTTTTCTCCATCTTTACAATATTTTCTTGACAAACTGAATCAGTGCATAAGTTAGATGTTAAAAATACATATCAGGAGCCATTTAGTCATTTTGTTTCTCTGCAATTTAAATTTTTTAGACATGCCATAAGGTGTGAAAAAACAGTTTCTCAGGGACACTTGCTAATTGTAATGCACCGTTGCTCATTCTGACGTTATTATCAGAATTTAGGATTCTGTAGAACATATAATTTGCTTCCCCGTGACAGTTATTTCAGCAAACCTAGATTTTAGATGCCAAAGTGAATATTTTTAATAAAACAGGCTCTTGTGTCTGTCTGTTGACATCAGTGATACCGTAACCATTTCACACTTTGCCTCTCAAACAGTGAAAGGTACAGAGTAATAATTATATAGTTAAATAATAATCAATAATAATATATTTAAAACCAAGAAGTCAGTAGTGAGCAAAAACAAAAAGCATATAAAGTACATTGCAGGGTTCTTAATCACCAGAAACGATTAAGATAGGTAGCTAATATGGATTTACATGAAAATGTGTTAAGTTTGTGGTTCGATGCTTTCTCGGGATTATTTTCTGGTTGCCTTGAAATAAAATATTACTTGATACTACTTACTTACAACCTACTGTCTAAAATGAACAAAAATATTGGCTTATATGTCGTCCTTTTAAACACCAAATATCTGTCCTGATATTGGTCTTAAAACTCCCTTATCAGTTTGGCTCACAGATGAAATATTTTTACCGTGATCTGGAAACCCTAAAGGAAGCCGTGAAGTTCTCCTGCTTTTTTATTTATTCATGATGTTTTCAGCAACCTTAAATCGGCTTATAATATTCTAGTGATGATTTCCAATAGTTCCTTGATGCAGTGATGTGGAAGTGCACCCCAGGTACAGTGTGACGTCACTCTGGCGTATATACAGTTATTCACCCTTTTGAAAACATTGAACTATGCACATAACTTGTTCTGGATGCTGATGAGGTTAAACCGAAGCACTGATACTCAACCTGGTAATAAGTTGGTCTTTAGCACCACTGTTAGTATGTGCGGTCATATGCAGAGTGCCCCACTTCATTAAACACTGCATGCATCACAACATCAAAACAACAACTTTAAAGCAAAAAGAAGACCGCTACCTTCCTGTGCTAGATAATGGTGGGTATTTGATTTGGACTACAGTTTTTGAACTACTACGGTGCTGACTACTAAATCAACGTATACCCATTGGGACTGCACAAATTGTGCCTTCGGGTTCCCACGACAAGTTCCCACCCTACTTTACCCTCCTTCCCCTATTCACTGAATGCTCTTCCCTCTCTTGTTCCCATTGGCTGGCTGCCTGACTGGGACTTCCCTCCCGCCCTGAGAGTGTCGCACCATCCAGTGACAGTCCTCCCATAAATAGGTACTCTATGCTCTCATGTTCTCTCACTTTGCCAGATGTAAGCCTTATATATCCATGTTGTCTGCCTTTGGTGTGGCCTTTTGATTCAGACTGGACAGAATATACAGCAACCTTGTATATTCTTTTGATTTCTGATGCATGTCTTGGTAGTAACATCTTCTTTTGGCTGAAGTTGTTGTTGTCTTTTTCATTTTTTTTCCATCAGTGTTCTCTTATTTAAATTCCCCTCTGTTGTTTTTCCTGTTTCACTTTCGCCTACTTCTTATCGCAGTGTGAATCTTTGTATTTGCCTTATCTGGTTTTGAGCTTATCATTCATCTTTGCGCCCTTCTTGCTTTCTGCCCCATCTGTTACATCGACTGTACCAGCATGCAATCTTTTTTGATAGCAAGGAGAAAAGCTTTATTTGGAAGTCATGTCACCTCAAGTTGCTGTTCCAGTGAGAAAGCGCGGAAAAAGTCATTTTAAAAAGCTGCAAGAAATCTCTTGCTTTAGATGCAGTTTATGTAACCCCTCAGTCACCTAAACGTTACATTTTTCTCTCTCTTCTCTTTAAAACAGCTGCTGTTTAGGGAATCTTTAAAGTAAAGAATAATGTAATAATTTGGCATGCTGCTTGCAGAAACAGTGACATTTCTGAGCCACCACAAGTTCTTGTTTTTTCATTTGGATTTTTTTTTTTTTGTGTAGATTCAATTTCTGCTGTAGCAAGTTTTGCAGAATGTGCCTTATCAGGAGCTTTGTGGTGCTCTGGCTGATGCTGAGGCTTATCTTTATGAGCACAATGACTCTCTAAATAGTGCCAGAGAGAGACAAAGAGAGGGTGCATGTGTGCGTGCTTTTGGGGTTTGTTTGTTTTTGTTTTTTTGTGAGGGCTGTCCACAGGAATGGGGCAGGCACTATTGTAAGCTTATGTTAGTGCAAGTGGTAAGTGATATTTTCAAGCTGAAGGA